GTTTTACTTGATTCCACTGAGAACCTCTAAGCTTTGTTAAATAATCTGATATTTGGTTTCACTATAAACACATCATAGGCGCTGCCTATACTGCAGTCTATGTTGGCATAACTTATGTCACACAGGAGTGTGAATAATACACACACACACACACACACCCCTCTCCCCCAGGCACATAAGTTACACCGACATTAGAGCCTGTGTGCACAGCACTACGTTTGTGGCAGAATTTCTCTGGCTGACATAGCTTCTGCAGTTGGTGGAGGTGGTTTTATTATGCCGACAGAAGAGCTCTCGTCCATCAGGGTTGGTCTAGAGTACTTGGTCCTGCCATGAGGGCAGGGGACTGGACTCGATGACCTCTCAAGATCCCTTCCAGTCCTAGTATTCTATGATCAGTATAAAGCAGCGATGGGCAATCAAGAATAGTGACTGAGCCGCATGAACAGCCCCCATGGGTGGCAGGTAACGTAGGCAAGGGGAGGCAACTGCCTTCACAAAACTGCCCATGCTCCCCGGCTTCTGGCCTGGGATTGAGCGGGGATTGGCTGCGGGGGGAGGCTGCTGTAGGGACAGGGTCTTGGGTGGAAGGGGTGGGGTTGGGCATGCTTTAGAACTGGGTTTCCCTGGGAAGCATCCCATTAGCATTTAACATATAAATTAACTCTCTGTTAGTGTTTGGCTGCAGATACCACTTTCAGGAGACACATTCATGCTCTAATAAATACTGTACAGAATGGTTTCTATCTTTAATTCTATCTTGTTTAATTCTGGAAAGCAAGGGCGGGGAACCTCTCGTCTGAGGGCTGGGTCTGGCTCCCTGCTTAATTTAATTTGGCCCAGCGCACGTCTCTGTGCCGCAGGCCGAAAGCCCTGAGTGACAGCATTGCCCCTCTCCCCCCACGGAGCTAGAGCAGCACTCGGGGAAGCTCTGCACACGGCCCTCACCTGCAGTTGCTGCCCCCACAGCTCCCATTGGCCGGGAACTGTGGGCAATGGGAGGCGTGGGGGCAGCATCTGCAGGTGAGGGCCGTGTGCAGAGCCACCTGCCCCTCCAGGGGCCACTGGGACATGCTGGCCACTTCTGAATCTGGGAGCTGCTGGAGGTCTGCTCCCCACACCCTCTCCTGCAGCTCAGCCCCCTGAATCAACCCTGAGTCCACTCCCCCACCCTACCTCCCACCCAGACCAACCTCCTGCCCTGAGTCCCCTCCCATACTCTAAACTCCTTGGCCCCAGCCCGCAGCCCCTTTCTGCACTCTAACCCCCTCATTCCCACCGCAGAGATCACACCCCCAATCAGAGCCCTCTCCCCTATCGCACCCCTCTGCCCTAGCCAGGAGCACCTTCCCACACCCATAACCCATCATTTTTGGCCCCATCCCAATTGTAGGGTTACCAACTTTCCCAACTGGATGGACCAGACATTGCTGCCATTCATGGCAATGGCATTCAGTTTGTCCAGTCAGGAAAGTTGGCTACACTAATCCCAACGCCTATGGGAAACTCGGAGCCTCTACATCTCCCCCCAAAGCAGGGCTGTGTGTCACCCACAACTGTTTTTTTCTAGGGGGTCGGTCCCCTGATAGGACAAAGATTCCCCACCCCTGGAATAAAGGATGTAGATAGACTGATCAGTAGTAACTTTTAAATCTTATTGCAACTCTATAACATATTATAATGCATTATGTCATCCTCCAGCTTCCATGACCAGTGTGAGACTGCTGACTACATAAATTGCACAAAGACTGATTCTGAATAATTGAAGGTAAATTGGAACTAGTTAATCATTGTCCATTCAATATGGCAATCCATCTGAGGATTCATTACACTATTATCTCTGTACATCTGGCTACCATTTCCTGTATCTATGAGCACAATCCTAAAATAGAAATTTAATGAAAAATGCAGATTATTTCAGAAAGGGGGAAAAAAAGGGTCACCATACCACTGCAAAATCCCACATAAAGACTTTTAATGCAGTGTCCACCTTAGGATACAATTCGGTACCTGTTTAAGCACCAGTGGAGGCTGCCTAACTCCACTGTGCATCAACCAGACAGAAAACAGATGGCCTGTGTGAAGAAAAAGATATCCCCTATGTGCTAACCAGCTGCAATGTCAGAACCACATCCAGTAGTGAAAAAAGGAAGTTCTCTTGGCAGTAGAGGGAAGGGAACAAGCATATCTCAACACCAGAGCCATTCCCTCTATAGGAAGGTTTGGGAGAGCTACCGCTAAGGATGTTAAATTGCGGTTATCTGGTTAATTGTGTAGTTGATGCAATTTGTAGCAGGGATAGCCCGGGAACATGCAAATGAAGCCCAAGATATTTAAATCCTGGGTTTCATTTGCAACTCCGGTTGCCCTCATTTGCCTACCTAGCTTGAACTAACGAGCTAGTGTAGACATACCCTAACTGAGTCATTCCTTAGCCTTCTCTCTGTTAAGCTAAATAGATGGAGCTCTTTGAGCCCATTGCTAGGTATGTTTTCTTATCCTTTAATCATTCTCATGGCTCTTCTTTGAACCCCCTTCAATTTATCAATATTCTTCTTGAACTGTGGGCACCAAAACTGGACATTATAAAAGCAACAGCAGTCTCACCAATGCCAAATGAAGTAAGGATGTTAAGAAGAGGGTAACTGGCTAATTGTCCCAAAACTGCAGCAGTCTCACCAATGCTAAATGAAGTAAGGATGTTAAGAAGAGGGTAACTGGCTAATTGTGTAGCGGATACAATTTGTATCGATTATGTGATAAGAGGAGGCACTCTGTCCCGGCTCGGGCCAGGACCAGGAGCTACCCCTACTGTGGCTCTGCAATTTAAATTTAGAGGCAGCAAGGCAACGGAAGTGAGTAGAGTAGTAGTCACTCGACTACCCGATAAGCCTAGACTTATCAGGTAGTCGACAACTCAACTAGTCACTTACATCCCTAGAATGAAGAGGTAAACTAATCTCTCTACTACTCCCCTTTGTGCATCCTGGGACAGCGTTAGCTCTTTTCTGTCACTTTAAGAGCCCATGTTCAGTGCATTATCCACCATGACTCCAAATCCTTTTCAGAATCACAGCTTCCCAAGACAGTGCCCCCCCATCCTCGAAGCATGATTTACATTCTTTGTTCTTCGGTGTACTGTATACCTTTAGCTGTATTAAACTACCTACTGTTTGGTTGCACCCAGTTTTCCAAGTGATCCAGATCACTCTGAATCAGTGACCTGGCCTCCTCATTATTTACCTCTTTTCCTGTTTTTGAATCATCTGCAAACTTTAACAGTGATTATTTTATGTTTTCTTCTGGGTCAACGATAAAGATGTTAAATAGTGTAGAGCCAAGAATCAATCCCCGCTGGACCCATTGGGAACACATCCCAGGAGGCATACCTGGGAGGTCGACAAATGCCTTTGATGTCGACCGCGGAGCATTCGGACTACTGCGCTGAGCCGACAAACAGCTGATCGGCTCAGCGCAGCAGCCATGTAAATTTAAATGAAGCGGCTTCATTTTCCTATGCCGGGTAGTCTAATCTACATGCCTCTGTCACCAGAGGCATGTAGTCTAGACGTACCCTAAATAAATTCCATCAACTCTACTACCTTTATCAAACTTGCAGCCTCAAAGAAAGATATCAAGTTAGTTTGATAGGATCTAGTTTCCATAAATCCATTCTGATTTGCATTAATTAAATTGCCTTCTTTTAATTCTTTATTAATTGAGTCCTGCATCAACCACTCCATTATTTACCCAGGCTAATTGGGCTATAATTACAAGGTTTATTTCACTGATTTATTTTAAAAATTAGCACAACATTATTTTTACCCAGTCTCCTGTAACTTCCCAAGATTTATTGAAAATCAACACTAATGATCCAGTGAGCTCTTTTTAAACTCCCAGGTAGTTAAGTTTTTGGGACTTTCTGATTTTAAAATGTCCAACTTTAGTTGTTTCTGTTTAACATCTTCCAGAGATACTAACAGAATGGAAAAAGTATTATCATTACCATATGATGAAACTGTCTCATCTGGTTTTCCCAAGATACAGAACAGAAACATTTAAAATAGAAATAACAATCACACCACTCGCCTCAATCACTCCACACAGAGTGTGTCCATATGTGTGTGCATGCATAGACTTCATGAAAGAAAACCCAAGCTAAAGACATTAGCTCTGTGTAGGCCTAAGCATGGTGATGTTTGTTGGTTGTTGAACTGTTGAAAAATGTGTTTCCTTTCCTGCAGAAAATTTTGATGTTTCTACATACTATGGTTCTGATCCTGCAATCAAACATGCAACTAGGCCCCTGTGCTCATGTGAAGCCAATTGCAGGACTAGCACCTATACGGTACAGAAAGAAGTTATGATTAGAGCTTGCCAAAAAACAGAACAGCTTTCAATCAAAAATCTAAACAATTCACAGGAATACGTTGATTTTCAAGAAATTTTTGATGGGGAAAAAGTCTAAATAAACAGTTTCCACTGTACTAGTTCCATAATGTCAAAACAGTTCATTTTGATATGGTGCAAATCTTTTGTTTCAACTTCCTCATTTTGATTCCTTTTATTTCAATCTGTATATGATAAAATAATTATTTTAATATTACATTACATTTATTCTACATAAAATATAATGCATTATACGTTGTAAAGTTTCACCATTATTGAAACAAAAATCTTTAGTGTATCAAAGCACAAAGACTAGATATTATCAAAACAAAACATTTCAGTGGTTCCAAATTGAGATTTTTTTATTTAAATTTGTGTTTTAATTTTGCCTTTTCATTCTGCTTCAGAATTACAACAAATTTCTTTGGGAATGGACATTGAGGATTCCCACTAGCTCTAGTTTTATGATTTTTGATATATTCCTCCAATATATTTGTTTGCATGTACATGAAATACAGCTGAATAACTACGTAGGTAGGAGACAGGTTGCATTCCCTAACCCTATCATGGAACATTTTATGACAAGTAAAGTTTCATTTTGAAGGAAATACCTGTTTCTTATCTTGCGTTTTCTTGAAATCTTCACATGCTAACCAAAACAAAACATTTTCTTCACTAAATTCTTTCTTTAAAAATTCCTGGGGAAAGAAAAAAGTAAATGTTAGGATGTGGTTTTTCAGATGTTTGTTTCCCTTCCCACCATTAGTTGGTATAACTTGGAAGCTCTTTGGACCCAGGACTGTCTTTAATTACTTTTTGTACAGCACAAAATAGGCTACCATATTGGGAGCATCAGATGCTACTGGAATATTACTAAACAACATATTTAATGCTTTAAAAAGTATAATACACAAGAATCAGCTTAGCTAAATTCTAGCCTTAAATTCCATCATCCAGTTGATGAGAGGAATATGTCTACCATCATGAAATAATTTGAGCAATTTCAAAGTTTTGCTTAGAAAGAATGTAGGAAATGCATGAACTCTGTACACTCCTGCGAGACACTATTGTCCTTCTGTGCTTCAGCAAATTCTCTGGTTTGGCACCGGTCAGGTCCCCAAGGTGCCAGACTAGACAGGTTCAGCTGGCAGTAGTAAATATAAAGATCTGTTTTAATGCAGTTTATAGATCATTTGGGATTCTAACTTACTCTCATTTGACATTCTTTACCGGCAAAAATGGCAAATGAAAGTGCTTCCAAACATGATCATCAGTAACAATAAATTATCTTAAAGTAAATTAAATCAAAAGATGTGTTTGCACTTTGCAGACAGTGTTTAAACAAACCACATTCCTTGCAAAGTAAAGCATATTTTAAAATGGAAAATATATATATATATTTAACATGTATATAAAAGCAACAGATGAAATATTTATAGTTTGGGGATATTCAATTTTCACTGTCAAATGTTAAAAAAAAAGAAAGATTAAATTATTTGCTGGCAGCAGGAGTTCTAAAAGCATTTGGATCCGTCCGGTAACAGCAATAGCATGATGGGATATAAAATCACTTCACCCCAGCATGTGGGTTTGACGCTGCAAATTGCTACTCCAGCAAAGCATTTTTATTCATCCAAATTGTCCCATTGATTACTAGTATGATAGAGAGCTTGTGAGATTGGGGGGCTGATGAGCCACTTTCAACATTCTTGAGCCGCAATCCTGCATTGTGGTCTGTGGGCAGATTGCAACTCCCACATGGGACCCTACTGAATTAAAGGGGCTACACTCAGTTCACTGCCTGGGTCACAATATTCAGCCTGTACTGAGTTACTCATGCTCATTAGCAGTCATTAGAACAATTTATATGAAGAAGAGTCACAGGACCAGGCCCCAGTAGTGGATATCACATGACAGTAACATTTCAGTCAAGACCAGAAAGGAGTCCTGTGGCACCTTAAGAGACTAAGGGCATGTCTACACAGTAACATTATTTCAAAATAGTTTTGAAATAATGGGCTTCTTACTCTGACTTCTATAACCCTCGTTTCACAAGGATTAAGGGGAGTTGAAGGAAGAGTGTTTTTCCTTCGACTTCTTGCAGCGTAGACGGCACCAAAAGCAGAGTTAAGCTACTTCAACTTCAGCTACGCAATTAACGTAGCTGACAATGCGTATCTTAATTTAACTTTAACCCACAGTGTAGATGTATCCTAAAAAAATTATTCGGGCATAAGCTTTTGTGGGTAAAATCGACTTCATTTGACTCCTTGTTATTTTTGCAGATATAGACTAACAGGGCTACCCTCAGAGGGTATGTCTACATTACCACCCTAGTTCAAACTAAGGTGGTTAATGTAGTCAATCAAAGTTGCAAATGAAGCCCGGGATATTTAAATCCCGGGCTTCATTTGCATCTTGCCGGGCGCCGCCATTTTTAAATCCCCGGTAGTTCGGACTCCGTGCCTGCGGCTACACGCGGCATGGAGTAGGTAGTTCGAATTAGGCTAATTCAAACTACCGTTACTCCTCGTTCCACTCCATGAGGAGTAACGGTAGTTCAAATTAGAAAGCCTAATTCGAACTACCTACTCCGTGCCACGTGTAGCCGCGGGCACGGAGTCCGAACTACCGGGGATTTAAAAATGGCGGCACCCGGCAAGATGCAAATGAAGCCCGGGATATTTAAATCCCGGGCTTCATTTGCAACTTCGATTGACTACATTAACCACCCTAGTTCGAACTAGGGTGGTAGTGTAGACATACCCAGAGACTTTTCAATGAAGACCAGTTTCTTTTGCTCCATTATTTAGTACATAGTGGCTTTTTTTCCCTTTCCCGTACTCATATTGCTTGTCATCTATTCTCTAGTTGGAAAAGTGCAACCAATCATTTTCCCGATACCCAAAGATAGGCTGTGGGCAGAAGATACTGTGTTAGAAACACAGTTAGAAACTGTTCAATTCACATATCTAGTTATATACAAATATATACCCTCATGTCACTGGTGCCCCTCCATTATTTAATGTGGCTATATATTCAGCTTTAAATGCTGTATACTGCAAAGTGTAGTGTCTATTAATAGTTAAAATAGCAACCCTAAATCGCTTCACGCCTTCTGGATCTTCTAGAAGGTTCTCTAGTGACGCGGTCCATCTTGAGGTTCCTTTTAGGGTTTGTTGACTGCTGCTGGGGGTACCATCACTGTCATTTATCTCTGAAAAATAAATACACCACTTTTAGAAAAATGAACGAAGTAGCACATGCATTTCTCTAATCCCATAGCTGCTCTCAACACCTTCAGGTCATAGCAGCTCTCTTAAAAGAAGACATGATCACACTGGAAAGATACATCTATTTTTCCATTCTGCATCATCTCAAAGAGTTTGTCCGTACAACTGCCATTAGCTCAGAGTCAGTACACACTAGTTACTCCTCGCGAGGTAACCCAACTCATTAGGCGTGACCACACTGCAGAACACCACTCAGGCTACAAAGTGCAATTTGATTAGCAACTGATGACCTGATGCGACACCTGCTCCTGCATCCCCCTCAGCATTCCAAGTTTAAACATCAGCAGCTCTCAAGTTTCAAACCACCCTGACATCCTAATAAACTTGAGCAAGAATGTGTGCGTGCAAATGGGGGTTGGGGTAAGGGCAAAACCTCAGCTAATGCTGTAGTTCAGGCAAACCCTAAGAAATGTAAAAACTGCTTTATAGTCAAGGAACTCGTGATAATGTTTATTGTCTTATCTAATTTGCCTGACGGACACTGAGTATTAGAACCACAGACTCAGCTAAAAAAGGGCTGTGAGCTTGTTTCTGGCACTGTCAGAGCTATTGGCTGGTTTAGTTCACCCACACCAAAGTTATGAGACAAATCTTGGGAAACTGCCTAGATGAGATTTCTTTTAAAAATGAACACTCAAGTCTTAGGGTAGGTAGGATGGGAGCCAGGGATGGAGAAAGAAAAACAAAGTTTTGTATAAGGGGAGAAGGGGCATACAAATCAAACCAATTTACAGGGAGGGCAACGAGACAGGTAGTGGACTTGTCTCGTGCAGTCTTGTAGTACACGCATGCTGTCTGGCAGTTTGCTTTTGATTTTCTTAAGTCAATTGGAGTTTTGCCTGAATAAAGATTGCACTAATACACCATCCAACATTCTCACAAGTATTCCAAAGTCTGTGGAGAAGGAAGAGATGGTCTAAATGCTGAATCCACATCTGATGAACTGTGCCAAAAGATGGGTTTATTAAACCGCGGGCTTCTGAGACCAGACAGAAACAGATTCTTCACGGGCTACCATTTTTAAGTCACATTTCTTAGAAGGGCTCCAAGTGTTTTATTCCTAAATTGAAGTTTTAAAATAAACACAGAGCGTATGATCTTCCATTGTCTGCATGTCCAAAGCGTCTAGTAAAGACAGTGGGACAGTCTTGTCCATTCAGGGTCAGCCCTAAAACTTGGGTAGATTGGTAGACACTGTAAGGCTGGGAGTCTAATCACGCATTCCTTACATGCTAAAAATCCCACTGTAATCAATAAAGCTCTTATTTTATGTCACCTTATTAATAATAAATACGGAAGGGCATTTGTAATTGAAAGCTAAGCAAGTAGAGATCAAACCTGCTCATCTTTCTTATCCGAGTAGCTCACTGGAATCCATGGGACTATTTGTGTAAGGCAGGGGTGAGGAACCTCAGGCCTGGGGGCAGGATGCAGCCCCGGGCTTGCCTGGATCTGGCCCCCCAAGGCTCAGGGATCCCCCCGCATTGCGGACCCCACGCTAGTGCTTCAGACCCCTGCCACCCACTCACAGGGCTGGAGTGCACAATCTACTGGGCCCCCCTAGGCTCTGGTGTGCGAGATGAATGTGAGGAGTGTCTTTTTCCTTCTCACTTTGCTTCTCCTAGGGTTGCCAGGTGTCCTATTTTGAACCGGACAGTCCAGTATTTGAGCTTTCCGTTCAGGAAACAAATTGAGAAAATATAAATGAGAAAAATATAAATGTCCAGTATTTTCTAAATAAGATGTAATGTAGATTGTGATGTCATGTCAAGTGTGTCCGGTATTTTTGTTGAAACTATCTGGCAACCCTACTTCTCACTTATGTGCGGCCCCCGACTGATTTTTCTCTGAGTCAGCAGCCCCCAGCCCAAAAAAGGTTCCCCACCCCTGGTGTAATGAAACTGAACAGGACAAGGCGCGTATTCTATTAGTTGTTTGGTAACTCATTTCTATTTTTTAGCATGTTCATTTTTATAAGCCCTACACTTCTTAAACCCAGTATTCAAAAATTATGGATCCTCTCAATACATATTTGGATCTGGGTTAGGACTCTTCCTTGAGTGAGGTCCTAAAACTACAGTCATCCAAAAAAAATTGAAAAAGCATAAAATGAAAGTATCATACAAAGTAGAGATTCAAACAGCAGAAGATAGCTAGAATACCAAATGCCAAGACTGAAAACCTATGGAAAACTAGCACCCCAGAAAAACCTATTCTGTTAAGAGGCTTTTGGTTGTTGGAAGCTTCTGAGAGGTCTTTGGATGAGTTCTCTCTGATAGTCAGATAGACATCTGGTTGTAAAAGGATAATAACCTCATCCATTCTCCACAAGGCATCATCCATGAGGGTGTTGCTTTCCATGTGGAACACAATTCTGCAAGCAGGTCAAAGCATCTAAAGTTGTACAGACACTTTTCATCTACATCACCGCTTAAGGAGAAGGAGAGACCCGGCCTCATGCAGCAAATCAATAAAATAAAGAGAAATACAGAATAAGGAGAACATTTTAAATTAACCAAGCACATGGGATCCACAGTATGAGCACACTATAAAAAACAAGCCATATCATTAGCATGTCCCTCCTTCATTTGTTATGATCTCTCTTGTGGTCATCTCTAAGCCCTCAATTCTGCAACTTCTTGCATATAGATGCACAAGTTGTCCAATGTATAAGAAGCGTCTGGACCTTGGACTGTAACCTCGTCAGACCAAGACTGTAACCTATTTGTAAAGCACCAGGAACAACTATGATGTCGTATATACAAATGAAGAGAAAAAAGATTCTCCCGCAGGTGAACTGCAGGACAGTGGTGAAAGCGCAGGACTAGGAATCAGAAGAGTTAGGTTGTTTCCTGACAGCTGCCACTGACTTGATGTGTGAACTTAAGCAAGGTACTTTAACCTCTCTCTGCCTCAGTTTCCACTTCTGGGAAACAGAAAGAATAAACAATTTCCTCTTCAAACGTGAGTTCTGAGATTTAAATCAACAAGGATCTGAGGGTAGAATGTACAACACATTGCTACTTATATAAAGTTGGATTCTCACGTTTTGTAAATATCCACCATCAGGACTGTCATGACTGTCATGAGAGATGGGCAGCAGCCTGGCAACTAAGGGGGTAACTGTACCTAGCCAGGTATCTGCTCAGCGAATAGAAATGCAGATAGGGATTTCAAACTGAGACAAAGGAATTTTTGGGTTTTCCCCTCTTTTGTCTCTGGGCAGTTTTCTCCCCGGATACTGAGGGAGGGAGACATGTCTCTCTCTCCCCAAGAAAAGACTCTTTACTATCTGTAAGTAGGGTAAAGTTTAGATAAATCTGTTAAGTTTTATTGTTTTATGGTTTGGGAATGGGAATCTGATGTCTGTGCATTTAGAAATGAGGTTTCCCTTCCTTTGTAACTAAGCTTTTGGCGCATGGGGGGAGGAAGGTGTCCCCCATGAGTATATTAATTGGTGATTTTTCCATCTAGTCATTATGCTTGTAGCAGGAGTATTGTGGTGATAATAAAAGTTCTCTCTCTCTTTTTTATTAACCTAGTATTGGTTAATTTTTGTGTGTCCTGGTTTTACTTTAGTGGCGAGGAGTCGCTTGTTTTACTTTAGGGCTGAGATTTCCCAAGTAATCTCTCCCCTGGTTTTCTTACCAATACTTGGGGGATGGCAGTGGATTTTTATCCACAACATCTAGGTTTTTAAGATTTTGGGGGGAAGCTTTATACCAAAGCCTGCAAAGATAAGGTTTTGGGGTACTTTTGTGGGCCCCCACTTTTGCATTCATCGTGCCAGAGTGGGGAAAAAAGCCTTGACGATGACTAAATCAGCATGGCAGTGTTTTCCACCCACAAGTGTAAATGACTACACAACGACTGGAGCAGAGGAGAACTAGATCCTTCAGATATACTCTATATGGGAGTTTGATTTTATGTCTGGTCTTCTTTGCTCTACTAAGCAAAATGGACTATAATGGTTGGGTTTGTCTGTCTGTTTTTCAAAAGCATGGCAGAAACATATAACTTGAGAGATGAGTAGCAATATGGATATTCACTTCTCAGCAGATTCAGAATCAGACTAAGTTTAGACTCCCAAGCTAGAACTGTGCTTCTGTTTTTCCAGGACCTCGCTGGATATCAGACGACAGACCACATTTTGTCCTGCCCTGAGGATGAGGGAGTGAGCAAAGAGCTTCCTCCCCACATGATGCCTCTCTGCAAGGACAGGACACAATGATCACACAAGTCTGGTGACAATGACAATGCTAAATTCCCCCGAGTGGGCATGGATTGGTGGGGTTGGGTCGGGTCATAGAAATTCTCTAGCCAGAAGGAACAACTGTAGGTACAGTGTCATCAGACTGCCTTCTACAATACTAGCCCTCTCAACTCAGAGTCTCTTCATTGTATCTACACCCCACCTACTAAGTTCCCGTGCTTTCTTCTCTCCTCTCTTCCCCCCTGCCCAATCCTCCAGCATTCTCTCTCCCTTATTTTGTCTTTTCATTTAACTATTATCCTCCTCATTAGACAACACAAAGAATTTTAAAGATGTAAATGAAGGTAAAAAAATATATACCCGCTCCTCCATTCTCCCCATCCCTCCCAAAAATCCTGTGGCACTAACGTGATGTTTGCAGACCACCAATGTTCACTCTGCATCCATATTACTTCTTCTTCCTACCCTTTGTCTTTCTTGTGTACTTTCACAGAAGCCCTTTAGGGCCGAGACAATCCAATACTGTGCTGCCCAGAGCTTAGCACAATGGTTCTCCATTTTCAGATTGCCACTTCAATAGCATACGTAACCAATAATGGCCCTTTCACCTTCTGCATACGTTTAAATGTCTACACAAGGTGCAAGGCTGTGGGAAAACAGGCCAAAATACTTCTGATGATTTTAGAATCACTGTAGATCTGTATTTTGCTGTACGCAGTTCTAAGGCACTCTTCATCTCAGTTACTGGGCACTGACATATATTATTTCTAGTATGAGAATTGTTCCTAACAGGATCATGGCTCTCCAGTTGACACACAGTTGCTCAAATTCATCTGATTCAACAAATTTGTGTGCACTATACAGAGAATATGTCTTCAAATAAGCAAAAGGTTCGCCTTGACCTTGCCCAACAGACTAATCACTACATGTCTATCTACAAAAATTCTACCGAGCTGTCTTGAAAAAAAAAATCACACTTGTAGAGTTATTTATACATAATTCTTCTAAACCAATTTAGTTTTAGAAGGTAATGGTGAAATATTTTAGTACTTGAAATATGCTCACTGATCCTTCGTTATCCCTCTTCTTATCATTAATAAGATCATCTTATTCTGTCAGAAGGCCTGCAATTATGCCGTCCTATAGTTTACATCCAGAAACTGCACACTCGCCAGTGTCACCAGTACTGACTATCCAAACAACATTCATTACTTTGCTTCTTTTTTAAAAACAGCAGATAATTATGTGCACCAGTAAAAAAAGCAAAGGAGCTACAGAAAAAAGGGAGCTCTCTCATTTGAACTTTTGAAGAAGATAAAATGTATGGTAGTAGATAAAGATGTAATCTTTCTTCTTTTGGTGGAAAAACACATTTTTTTAGACAGACAACAGAACCAATAGGTGCAGAAAATACTATTATAAACATTTGCAACATGGGTGTGCACAGGATGCCACCATACAGTCTTTACTGCAACAAAACTTCCACTGACTACTGGATCGCAATGCATTTTCTTATATTATGCGCAGCAGTCAGTTACTTGTACAAAAAAAGCGAATGTTTGGCAGTTACACTAGTTGCAGCATTGTTTCAGTGAAGAATCCTATGTGAGCTATTTTTTACCATCACAGAATACTATTACACAAGATGCAAAAACACCTTGTAAATAAATATTTTTATAAATGATAAATCCAAAAGCAAATGTAATTTTTTAAAATGTTCTCACTACCACACTTGACACTATCAGTATCTTAAAAAACAAATATTTATATTATACAAACAAGTTCCACGCCAACATTAATTAACAAATCAGAACTCCCGGATCTAGAACTTGCTTTGAAAAGAGAGTAACAAAAAACATAAGAAACCACCAAATGTTAGTATTATGTGCTTATTGTTTCAAGTAATACAATGATTCAGTATGTGGGGTGATATCTTCAGACATTCCTTGTTTATTTAACAGCACAAATACCCTTTGAATTCTAAGTGTTAGATGGGCACTTTGGAAAAGCCTACTCAATTAGTCTCAAGTGTTACAACCACGGACATAAAACAAATGTTCAATAAATTGTGCCTTGCGGCAACATATCAAACAAAATAATGCATCTTACAAAACTTTGTTACATCAGCCATTTTAATGCCTGATCTTTGCTTATCCTTTTCCACGTATATTTTATATGGTGTTATTAACAAAAGACAGTAGACACGAAGAGATCATCTGCCAAGGTATGAACCTCTACAGCACCTTATATATAGCTTTTCCCCCTTTATTCACAGTGTTTAAATAAATAGCATCAATCCATAGACCAGTTAAAAAATCCTTCTCATTCTCCCATAAATTTATCCTGAGAGAACTTTGATTACATTACATACATTCTTCACACAGAATCAGGCATGGGTCCTTTGAAAAACTTTGAATACTGACAGATGGGCTTTTTATTTTTAAAAGTACTTCTAATCCATTGCATCTGTAATCATTAGAATGTCTTTCCAGTTGTAAGCAACAGTCCTGAATTAATAAACCAAGATATAAAACAATGATAAACTGGTTTTAACAGTTCAATTTAACAAGGGAAAAACCCCTTACTTTCCATGTATCCAGGTGTCACTTGAGTCCAACAGATCAACTGTTTCTAGTAGCTGCTGTATATTAAAGAACCAAGAGCTACAAAAAGTGGTCTTTCCCCTCTTTTGGTTTGTTCAAAGTACAAACCTTAACATCCTCTTTTCAATGTCTCCAACAACAGATGGCAACTGGATTCTAGTTTTAACTATACGGAAGGAAATTAAAAGAACGTTCTGCATTTGTAGCATCTCTGGAAGCATTCATCAAGCATATAACCTTTTTTTTTTAAAAAAAAAAAAACCCAACCTAGATGAAAAGTCACACTCAATTTTTTTTAAGAAGGCTTTAATGAGCAACTTGCATGTTCATAATCTTACTGTACATTCCAGAAGTAATACTGCTACCCAGGAGTCTGAGTTTATTTTTATCCAAATTATTTGATACAGAATAACATATGTTATGTTTGTTTCCTGGAGCCACTCAACCTGCTGTGTCAGTGAAATTTTCTTGTAAAATATTCTGTATTAAAGTGCTGTAATAATCTGAAAGCATGTCTGTGAAAATGGCATTGTGGGGCTCCACTCTAATGACGCGTCAGTGACTTCCATATCAAATGCAAGAAGATGGTCTTTCTAAATGACAGCTTTCCAAAGTCAGCTTGGGATCTAAAAGTCAAACTAGGTTCTGTCTGGTTAGTAAGACTATCAGTAACACAGATTTTCTAATGAGAATGTAATCAAAAATGTGGTTGATGTATAAGCTACCACAGAACCCCTCGCCTGTAGAGCCTCTATAATGGAAAAGACTATGTTACACCTAAATTACAGTTTCTGAATCCTATGTTTAAAATATAACCTATCAATTTTATATTATAGACCAGAAGCATACAAAGCATTAAAAGTTAAATAAAGATATAAAATGCTATGTGAGTTGTCTCCATCTGTGTCAGAGAGGGCAAACACAAATGTCAGATGTATGACCCTTCCCACTAAAGTTCGCTTTGTCCTGAGAGCTATTAAACATCTCATAAGCCATGGACAGCTCCACAGCAATACAAATAATCAATAATGCCCTGTACTCAGGAAGCTTAAGTCTAGTTAATAGCATTCTATCTGAACATTGTAAAAATCCAAATACATGTTTCAGATAGGACACTCTTAACATCTGCTTTCAGCAATTGCATATGTTGATGACTTTATAACTATTACCAAATCCAACACATTAGAATTAGAAAGCTAATGTGTTTTAAAATTGCATACTTACATACTCTGAGAAATTATAATGGACTTTTCCAGTGACACTAAACTTTGTTAAAAAGCTGTCATTGTTCATGAATAACTCACAGGAAAGTCAGTAAAAAAGAAATCAGGTGGTTACAGTGAACCAGACAGCATACCTTTTTTGTGTTCATCTGTATCATGCAGCTGGTTAAGAAACCTGAATGAGCCTTTATGTATTTGGCCTGTATCGGTTCTGAGTACCTGCAACTCAAAGTGAACTCAGTGAAACTGTAGGGCTCCACACTTGTGACTCTCGCTCTGTTTGCACCTAATGCCATTTGGCCCTGTTACTTTCACAGGGGTTTGTGACCGCTGCTTACACAGAAGTTGCCTTCCCTAGGGCACCCGACTCGCAGCTGGGACTCACGTGCAGACAAAACAAGCCAGAGAACAAACCAAAGCGGGGCTCCGGAGTCCGCTCCAGCGGGCTGTATCTTGTAGACACGCGAAAAAAAAAAAAGCAAGCTCCATCCTTCCTCTTTCAGCTACACTTCCCCTTGGTCTTGAAGCCGCTCGTGGCTCGCAGGGGCTGACACTTCTCAACGCACAGCCCGAGCTTCCTGGGCCTAAAAGCGGCCGCGGGCTGAGAGAGTCTGGAGAAGCAGCAGCACCTCCAGCTCCGGGTTAATCTCTGGTTGGAAAGCGCACACACCACCGAGCCCTGCGACGCGGGGCCGGGACTAGCTGAGCTCTCCGAGGGGGGCTGATCTGCACCGAGACAAAGGTGCCCCGGAGGGGGGGTTCCCCTCCAATTTGGCCGCACATGCCCTGCCTGGGGCGGCTGGTGCTGATCCCAGGACGCTTGTTCGCGCCCCGGGCACCGACGCCCCCCGAGCGCGCTAAGCCTGACGCCGGAATGAAGGTGCCCCCCAACACGCGGGTCCCGGCTCGCCCGAGTCCGCCTTACCTGACGGCGGCCGCTTCCTGC